GTGAGTCTCTCCAGTGAACTCTCCGGTGAGGCTGGGAGTCTCTCCCAGCACCTCAACCCCCACAAATGTTTTCCATCAGTGTTTTGAGGCTTTATTTCCCCTCCCTGGAGCCCTGGGTTGCTCAGGTCTGTCTTGCTCCCCAGTTTCGCTTGGTTCATCTGAGCTTGAATGTGGGACCGCTCCGTCTGCCAGTTGTCTTGCACACCTCGCCCATCCACAATCTCCCACCTCACTGGGTTTGCCCACTGCCACCCTGTGCCTGGGGTCTGCCAGCCACCATCTATTTTGCTGCGCCCCTCTCCACCCTGCTGCCGGGACTCTGCCCATTCTACAGTCTGGATGAATGTATCTATTTTAACTCTTTGGTGTTTGGACTTCCATACAGTTCAATTTTCTGACAGTTCTGGTTGTTATTTTGTTTCTAAATTGTTGTTGTCTTTATTTTGGTTGTGCAAGGAGGCACAATATATCTAACTACGCCTCCATCTTTGCTGGAAGTCTTAATTTTTTTTCTTGAATGTACACTCTATATAGCTAGGTTGTGCCAGAGGGAGTGATATTAAAAATCAAGTTTGGCTAACTGCTTTTAATATTGTAGAAAAACATGTTTATTTTAGCAAGCAGAGTGTTTCTAATGGAACAAAAATTTGGAGTTGGCCAAGTAGAAGAAAGGTATTTGGAGAACACCATTTAAACAAAATTGGATTATACCAATTTTAGATTTAAAAACAATGTTTTTTAAAGAAAGGATATAAGGGCCCATACAGAGTTTAGGGTTAAATTCAAAGATAGCCCTATACAGAGTTTGGTTGGCCTTTGTTGCTATTCTGTATTCTCTGTCAACATTTTTTTATTCTTTGTCATCATTAGTAACATTTGTATGTAATGGGGAAAAAGTTTAACAATACGACATATAAGTTACACTATCACTGGCTTATTCCTGTAGTTTAGTTTGTTGGTTTCAACTCTGGCTTAAAGAAATATATAGGTAGACCAGTCATTTCTATAAGCAACTGATAAAGTAGGAGGCACACTGGATTTAATCAGAGATCTTGGATTTTACTAGCTATAATGCATTGGCTTACTTATAATGAGAAACAGTTTGTCTTTGAGGTTTGTTTTTTGTTTTGTTCTTGTAGCCTATAAGATATTAGATATGAAAGCAGTGCTATACAAATTCATTTTTTTCCTTTTAATTATATTTTTAACCACATCCTGGGTTCAGAATACACCAGATCCTACAAATGATATAAAAGTGAACATGACAAGAAATATTTAAGTGGCTGCTTTATGTTAAACCTTCTTGCAGTTGCTGGGGATGCATAGGAGTAAGATAGTTGGGTGTCTTTTTGAAGGCATTCATCAGATATGGCCTTAAGAAACTTGTAATGTAGTAGAACTATGTAAATAGCTACAGTTTAATAACAATGCATATATTACATGTGTATTTTCTCTGCTGCTTTATATGAATTTATTCATTTGATCCTCACACAAATTCTTCAGCTGTAGCCATAGTTCATCACATCTACAGTGCGTATAAGGCATCATTTTAATGTAAATTGTAAAATGTACCCCAGTATCAGAGATACAAGTGTGGGAAAAGGGTAGTAAATTTAGCCTAGTCTGGTATAACCTTCATATTTTACAGATGAGGAAACAGGGACAGGGAAGGATAATTTGCCTGAGAATGCAGAATTAGTCAGTGGTGGAGTTAGGACTTAAACCGGGAAGTTTGGCTCTAAAACCTGTGTTCTTATTCACTGCTTCACAATACCTTCCATAAAGTAGGTATAAATGAATTATAAGCCAAGTACTGTGGAACTATGGATTAATGAAATTGGTAGTATGAAAGATTTAGAGGAAGCAATTGATTGTTAAGTTGGATTTAGAACCGGGAGTGAGATTTGCCTAAGCAGTGGGAGGAGAAATGAGAAATGAAAGAAATGAAGTTTTTTGAAAGTTCATGTAAAACTTAGGCGAGTGTGGTTTTACTTTCCTTCTCAGCTCTCCAGGGCCTCTTTCCATTACCTCTAAAATTCCAGATTACCCATGTTTGCCTTATCTGCCAAAAATTCTCCATAGTTACCTACTCCTTCTATACCTAATAACTTAATTTTAGGGTAGCTTGTATGATCATTTATTACTTGTAAGACCAAAGCACATGATGTGAGTTAATCAGTTGTCTGATTACCTCTCTGCTGGAAACAAAACCTTTGGGTGTAAATCTACCCAGTTTAGTTATTATACTTTGTAGCTTCTTCTCATTCCCATACCAACATTTATCTAAAAAGATACTTTATGGAATTCTTACCTTTAAATTTGTTACACAGTAATTTGTAACTTAACTACTGAAGATAAGTGAAATTCATTAAATAACAATTTATTACAGGGATTTGGATGTTGGGTCCAGTCTTATTTATCAGATCATAATGAAATAAATGATGTATAGTGGTTAGTTAACACAAGTGTCATTGAGTCTAGCTGCTTTTCTATTTATTCTATAAATCTGCCTTGCTTTAAAAAGAACAAAATTTAAGTTATCGGAGGAAATTACACTTGCATAGTAAAAGAATTTCTTTACAAAAGAAAGCACTCAGAATAGTAATAATAGCTAATAGTTACTCAGTATTTTCTATGTGGCAGGCACTATTAAAAGTACTTTTCGCATATTAATGCATTTACTGCCCATAAAACCATAAATACTTTTATGTCTCCTGTTTTGTAAAGGAGGAAACTAGGGCTCAGAGATGTGCTGAGGTTAGAATTTGAAATCTGGAAGTTTGCCTCCAGAGCCCACACTTATTATTATTCTGTATTTCTATAGTGCTTGTAATAGCATTTGCGCAGTCTTTTTGTTAATAGGTAATAGACTAATGGTCTATTTAAAAAACTGTAGAACAGCCCTGGCTGGTGTGGCTCAGGGAATTGAGTGCTGGCCTGTGAACCAAAGGGTGACTGGTTCTATTCCCAGTCAGGACACATGCCTGGGTTGCAGGCCAGGTCCCCATCAGGGGGGCGTGCAAGAGGCAGTCACACATAGATATTTCTCTCCCTCCTTCTCCCTCCCTGCTCTCTAAAAATAAATAAATAAAATCTTTTTTAAAAAGAACAAAAAATTTATTTATTTTTAGAGAGGTCAAAGGGAGCGAGAAGGAGGGAAAGCAACGTGTGAGTGTGTCTGTGTGTGTGTATGTGTGTGTATGTGTGTGTGGTTGCCTCTTCCGCGCCCCCTGCTGGGGACCTGCCCTGCAATCCAGGAATGTGCCCTGACTGGGATCAAACTGGTGACCCTTTGTTTCGCAGGCCAGCACATATCCATTGGGCCACACCAGCCAGGGCATGTGCCCTTCAAAATTTTATGACAGACTGATACTCTGGCCTTAAAAGGCTTTGGAAGTATTTAGATTATCTGATTCTAAAGATCTAATTTGATTGAGGGTAAAGTGGTAACATTTATAATGTTACTCCTTGCTCCACCTCTCCAACCCTTTCTGTAATAAGTTTCTTGTAAAATATTTGAATGTCTTACAGGCCCAGGTTTTATTAACCTTTGAGTAATGAGTGATATTTAATAGTAATGATTTTATTCTGTATTTTTAAGTTCATGGACAATGTAGAATTTTTAGTATTCCTTTTCAGACTATAGATAGCGTGGTTCTTCATGAATTAGGCAGATGCTTAATAAACTTGAAACTTATTTCATCACAGAAAACTGATGAACCATTGACACCTTTCCAGCAACCATCATTATCTGGAACACCTCTAAGAATTAGGAAATAAGTAAAAATGCTCTCTTTAAATGGAAAAATCCAGAGTAAAGTTCATATACTTTTACTTTTAAAAGCATGGCAGTCTCTTGACACCTCATAAGTGAACTTTTTAGTAGCACTTAAGCTAGATAGGTTAGTAAGTTTCCAGCAGACATTATATTATTTTGATAATTCAGGGAGCTACTAGGCGTAGATAAGGAAATGTGTACAGTGATGGCAGGTGGAGCAAGAGAAAAGACAAACACTAAAATTCAGTGAACTGTACTCAGAAATCTCCTGAGCCCATTTGATTTTTGGAGCAGATTGATGTAATATACACTTCAACTTTTATTAAGGCTAAATTCAATACAGTGTCTCTGTCCTTTAAAAAAAGTTGAATTATGATAATCAGGAATTTGATGTAGAACATTTGGAGAGACATTCTATTAAAAGTGACTTGCAGTATTTTTGGTGTATAAAGATGAGGTTTTAATTTATCATGGGATATTTGCTTATATTAGGATACTTTTATCTTTGGAAATGTCAGTTAAATGAAGAATTAATATTTTCTAATTTCATAGACCCTGGTTGAGACAAAGTAACTATAAAACAATTTTGTCATTTTAACCTATTCATATGTTTATTCTTTGCTTTTGTGTTAACAACTATGAGTTAATATTTAAGAACACAGGTTCTGGAGTCAGATCTATTTGGATCTCACTTTATTTCATTAATTATGTGGCTATGGACAAAAATAACCTCGCTGAGCTTTAGTTTTCTCATATTCATAAATAGTAATTGAGCAACTACTGTGCACTTTGCACCATTTTAGGAGTGAAGAATACATCAGTGAGCATGGTAAGTCAAAAAACCAAAAAATCCCTGTCCTTTGGAACTTACATATGAGTTGGGAAAGACTGACAGTAAACAACAGAGCATGTTAATAGTACCTGTTTTAGAGTTTTTCAGTATTAAGTGGGGTAATACATATAAAGTTTTCTATCTAATAGTTGTAGAATAAATGTGGGCATCTATTATTTTTAGTGTATTTAATCCTGACTTCACATGACTTGTATTGGCATAAAATTAAATTTGTTGGGTATATTAGTCATCTCAAAAATGGATCATTATCAATACTTTATTGGTGATACTGAATACATTAATTTTTTCTAATATTGTGAAGGGGTATGGAGGACTAAAGAGAGAGCAGTTAATCTCATCATGTATGTACTTTGTTTTCCTTTACAACAGCCACCAAAAAAGGCATCTAAAAGAGAAAAGCCTAAACAGAAAGCCACTTCTAAAAGTAAAAAATCTGTAAAGAATGCTAATGTGAAAAAGGCAGATAGCAGCACAACTAAGAAGAATCAAAACAGTTCCAAAAAAGGTATGTTAGAAATGACACATTTTCATCAACTTTAAAGATATAACATATGCTGTAACATAGTCTGTAATTGTTTAGAATATAGGTAAGCTGAGAAGAACATTGGGGGGAAAGTAGTATGCCCATTTTTTATGGTTTATAATTTATCAAAATTGACAAGTTTCAATGTATGTTTTATAGGTGTAATAATTTATAGCATTGATTTATACTTTTTAAAATCTAATACAGTACCCTTTGAGAATCTGATAAATGCTCATAGAATTTTTCCCAGTCTAACTTACTATGCTAGAAAATGCAAGAAAATTTACTAATTTACTATGCAAGAAAAAACTTTTTTCATATGTAACTATTTTACTTTTAGAAAGTGAATCTGAAGACAGTTCAGATGATGAACCTTTAATTAAAAAACTGAAGAAACCTCCTACGGATGAAGAGTTAAAGGAAACAGTAAAGAAATTATTGGCCAGTGCTAACTTGGAGGAAGTTACAATGAAGCAGATTTGCAAAAAGGTAATTGGACAGATACTTAGATCACTTTTCTTTTCTTTGAAAAATCCTTTCATCTATCCTTCAGTTTGAAGTCAGATTCTTTAATGTGTTCATTCATTGAACACATGTTTACTGAACTACCACATGCCAGGCACCCTGTTACAGGAGCTGTAATAGCTATATGAAATAAAAGTAAATCAAAGCCTCTGTTCTTTGGGGTCATTTCATAAATAGGCAGGAGAATGTATACCGTGAATAAAGTGCTATATTCCAAATTGCACGGGAAACTTCCTTTTCCTGACCTGGAAACCGTATTGTTGGTGCATCCTTAGATTATGTTAGTTTTCCAAAGCAAAATCTCAGGAACCACCTTATCGTCAGTGTCACTGTAATAAATGAAGTGTTATAGATTAGGTTCTTAGCTCGGGCTCCTGTGAAGTTCTTATACTGCTCAGGAAATGAAGTGACCTAGTCTTGAATATAATTCTATGCCCCACCTTCATATTGGTAAGATTTTAGAATCTAGTTTCTTATGGTAAAATGAAATTAAAGTTTGCAGTGTATCAAAGATGAACTATCTATACTTTTTAAAGGCATTTATTTATTATTTTTTAATTCATTCAGGACTTATTGATCCTGTACTACATATTAGGCCCTGGGACAGATGTTAGAAGTAGAGCTAGAGAAGATACTACTTCACTTTAGGGGGCTTACAGTCCAGTGGAATTGAAAGACAACTGTGTTAGTAGTTAGAGTACAATATATGAAGGTTGTGTTAGAAGAGTGGGGGAGGTACTACTGCTGCACGGTGAACAAAAAGGACCTACGTGGGACTGGGATGGAAGGGCTTGGGGAAATCTGGAAAATCACCTTGAAAGGTATCTTAGAGCATTAGCTGTTCCATTTAATTGAGGAACAGTTGACACATTCACAAAATATGACACATAATGACTCTGGGAAATAGTAATTAGTTTAATTTGGCTGAAGACTAGAGTTGGAAGTAAGTCTTCATAGAAGTTAGAGAAAATACTAGAGCTTTGCAGTTCTAAACTATACTGTGTTAGAGTGTAGTTTTCTTCCTGAAACAGGGAATTGTGAGGTTGGGTAGGTTATTGAGAGCTATTTGACAGGGGAGTGACCCAATCAGGTTTTTATTTTTTAGAGTCATCCTAGACATAGCAAGGACAGACTGATAATGAGATGAGAGACAAGCAACTCATTCCATCTCAGAGTCAGAGTTACAAGATTGCCAAGTCAGAAATCAAGAGAGCCTTATCATAGGTGGTTTCATGTGGGTATAAGGGCTTTGGTGTATTAATTATAATAGGGAACAGAACAAAAGGTGTACTTTTTGAGGAAAGATGAGTTTCATTTTAGAAATTTTGAGATGAGGTGCTTGGAACATTTAAGTGGGAGAAATTCTGAACATTAATTCTCCAAGTTCTCAAAGAAACCAAAAATGTAAACATGGCCTTTAAACAAATGAAAACATGGTTAGCCTTCCCTAGTAATGAGGAGGATAGAAATTAAAAGGGAATCTTGTTGCTTATTAGCATGACAAATGATGAGGAATTAATACTTTTCTTAGTTGGCAAGGATGTAGGGAAACATTCTCTCATGATTTTAAGATTAACAGCTTTCAGGAACAAATTAGTGTCTTAAAATTTAAATTGCTAATAACTTAATCTACCAATTCCATTCTAGGCAAATGCCCTTTAACCTAACAATTCCATCTCTTAAGTCTCTATCCTAAAGACATAGTCACTTCTGCACAAAATGACTATGGTAATCTTTGGCATGTCTAATATTGAAAAAATAAAAAAGACACTTAAATGGCCTTCAATAGGAAAGTGGTTAAACAGGTGACCACGCCCATATTTTTGCAATACTATGTAGCAGTTGAAGAGAACATGCAAAAACCTTACAGCTATTGTCAAAATTTTAAAACGGAATATTACCTCATTATGTAAATACAGAAAAACTATATTACTATTTATACATTTGTATAAAAATCATTTTTTAAGGAAGGTCTAGAATAATACACAGCAAACTGATAACTGGTTTCCTTAGAGGGAAGAGAGCGACGAGGGCAGAGTAGAGGGAGACTACTTCTGTCCCTTTGAATGGTCTTGTGAGTACATTGTTATAATTTTACAAAGGAATTATCCATAGTACAGAGAGGTCAGGTGAGAAGGACTTGAAGGGCTTATTTGGGCTTGGCAATTAGGAGATTATGGTTCACTTAAGAGCAGTTCTAATGGATGGTAAATGAATGGTGAGGAAAGTGAATGAATTAAAGCTTCTATTTGAAGCATCATTCTTTAGAAGGGAAACAGTAGTTAGATGGGGGTGGATGTAACTTGGTAAAATATTTTTTAAGAGAGAGAGTACAAGCATGTGTTAAGCTAAGGGACAGTGCTGGGAAAGAAGAAGCTGAAGATCCAGGAGAGTTAAGGGACGGCTCTCTGCAGAGGGAAAGAAAATGAGGAGTTGATGAATCCAGGTACAGATAAACTGGAGGGAAAGTTATGTCAGAAAGTTGGAGAAATGCATAATAATAGCTTCTTGGTTGAGAGATGGAATGTGTAACACTTGAGAAAATGATAATGCCATAGACAGCAATTTCTAGGGAGGCTTTGATGTTGAATATTACAGACTTAAAATGGGATCAGTTTTTTCAAAATTGTTAAATTTTTCCACAGCAATCAACCACAGCAAAGTTGGTAGTTAGACCAGTTGAGGTTTGGAGTTTTGTACAGAATGAACAAGGGGCAAACAATTAGTAAAGTAAATGATTCACTATATTTGTAGGGGTTGGCAAACTACAGCTTGTGGGCCAAAGCCATCATCTTAATGGTTTTTGTGTTGTAACACAGCCATACCCGTTCATTTAAGTATTGTCTATGGCAGCTTTCATGCTGTGGTGGCATAATTGATGTGACAGAAAATGTGACATTTGGAAAAGCCAAAGCCATGTACTGTTCTGGTCCTTCAGAGAAACATGTGCTGACTTTGAACTATATATTCACAGGAATGAAGTTGACAGGATGCATATGGAGTCAGGACTAGAAGTTACTGAGAAGTAAAGCAGCAAGTATCAAGTTGATACAAGAGGGAAATTTGGAGTAAGATTTTAGGAGTAGAGCACTCCTGAGTCCTCTCAAAGATTTAGCTTTGGGGAGGGATTGAGCAGTGAGTGAAGTGTGAAGTACACCACAGTTCAAGTTGAATTATAAGTAGTTGGCTGATACAACAGAAGAAAGTAAGAGTATCTCTAAAAAATACTTGACAGATAATCTGCCAGTAGAAAGAATTCAGTCCACTTAGTTAAGATCTCTTCTAGCTGTTTTTCTCACCCATGTTGTTCATTCAACTGATAGTCCCAGTTTAAAACAGTGAGAATGTTTGCATGCTGGTTTATTTCCTGCTCTACATACAGTATTACTAAAACTACTTATTTGCAATGGAATTCTGTGTGAGTACTGTTAGAATATACATGCAGCTTTTGTATATAACGTACATTTCTTTTTTTTAATCCAAAATAGAGCATTGTTGAATTTTTAACATTGTTTTTCCTTTTCACTACAGGTATATGAAAATTATCCTGCTTATGATTTAACTGAAAGAAAAGGTTTCATAAAAACAACTGTGAAAGAGGTAAATACATCCATCATTTCTAAAAGTTTCTAACTTCAATAATTTTGGACATGAGACAAAAATATATATTAAATATTGCATATTTTTCAAAATGTATGACTAGCCCTGGCCAGGTAGCTAGCTCAGTCGGGTAGAGTGTTCTGATTCGCCAAGGTTGTGGGTTCCATCGCTGGTCAGGGTACATACAAGAATCAACCAATGAATGTACAGGAAAATGAGACAACCAATCAATCTCTATTCTTCCCTCTCCCCCTTCCCTCCCATCCTCCTCCCAGTCCTCTAAAATCAGTAAATTTTAAAAATGATTAAAAATACATGACTAAATATCACATCTCATCCTCAAATTTCCTCAAAATAGATGGGGAAAGGTGTTTGTTTCCATTCCCATATTAGAGCTTAGAAATAAAGCCTGCACTGTAGTGACAGAACCTCAGGTGAAGAAGAGATGCGGGCTCAGTCTACTGGGCATGTCAGAGGCATTCACACCACTACTTGGGCACATGTTTCTGTCCACAAGTCAAAAGCAGGAGAAAAATCAACACAGCTCTAGTTTATGTTGATCTCAACTGATTTCCCAAGGTCACAATAGTAAAATAAAGTTTAAAAACGAAAAAAAGGTTTTATGACTTGTGTACCTAATACTGTATGCTGGGGTATGGGAAAATAATGTTTCTCTTTCATTACAGCTAATTTCTTGAGATAGAGGACAGAGATGACTTGTTCCATGGACATTAAAGATCTGATTTTATACCATTATACCAGCAAAGAGAATGTATTTCCTTTTATAAATCCTTGCAAGCATTGTGTTGATAGAATTTTCTGATGGTTTTTTTTTTTTGTCTTGAGTCTTACGTAAATTTGAGTTTGCCATTTTAAATTGCATTTCTGTGCAGTTTTTAGTTTAAAATTTTGCATGGTAGTTATTGTTCCTGCTTTTATAGTTGTATTTTGTACATTTTGGGTTTCTTTATATAAGGTTCATAGATTCTTGAACTGTTGTAGTTTTCAGTGCAGTTAATATTAGCTTGTTTAGGACATACTTTTAATTCAAGTAGAACAGAAACTATTACAACTGGCATTTATACATGCAGAGACCAGTGCAGTATTTAGTGTATGAAGTATTTTGAATACAACACATCTGTCAGTGTAAAAATTCAGTGGCAGTGTATTCATCATATAAAGAATATACAACTTTGGCTGTCCAGATACTTAATTGGAAGTTCTTCCTGCATGTATATATATGTCAGTTTGTCAGCATGAGAAAAGCAACAGATGTTATTTTTATATTTTCAAAAACAAATTTGTTGTATATAAATTTTTTAAAAATTTCTTTTGTGCAGATCAATTTTTAAACACAACTAGGTATGTATCTTTACAGTTATAAATTGTGATATGTCAGTGTTCAGCCAGATGGTATCACGGAGCAGTAAAAGTCAGAATTCAGAGAAGAAAACACTTGAAGGAACAGATAATTCTCTGCTTTGCCTGAAAAGTGTCATCAGTTTGTAGTTTTAGTGTCGACTCTGCAACAGTGTCTGTGGACATATTTTATATTAAGGACAGCCCAAAATCAGAACTTCAGACATTTGGAAAAGAGTGGGATTAAGTACAAGACCATGAGGCTCATTATATATGACTGATTTTTATTAACTGCTTTTGCCTATATAAAATGCTGGTATTCACAGGAAACCTGGACCTTTATAATTATGATAAAAAGTACCCAGTGTTAATGCCAGAAGATAATGTGTAGGCAGTAGTGGGTATCTCTGACAAAGTATTTCTCAAAAGTGATAATAGACTTGTTTTTAACATCAAAGAAATTTAATGTATTTGTGGAATTAAGAGCTGTAGGTTTTTTGGCTAATCAGGATTCTATGTGATCGCCAAGTGGACCGCCCCTGAATGAAACTAATTTGTTTTTTAAATTGTCTTACTTGGTTTATTAAGTAATCTTTGAATTTTAAAATAAAACATGCTGCTTAAGAGAGAATTAGGTCTTTGATAAACCAGTTGAGTGTTTAAAATAAAAATATCTTTGCATCATAGAACAGAAATAGTAAAAATATGTTGACTGTTAATAGGTATTTTCACAGTTTTGACTTGTTCCTTGATAAAGTTGTTAAAACATTAAAAAAGGTACACTTCATACAAATGAGTGGAATAAACTTAAATGAGACCTAAGGATTTGCCTTTGATTTTAAATATTTAATTCTTATAAACTTTGTCAATAAAAATAATAAACAACACTTTTGTCTCTTGCATTTCATGTCTTAACTGCTGTTTTTATAGCATTTCCCCTCTACAGGATTTCAGAACATGGGTTTTTAAATGTATTTAGCCCCATAGCTTATACAGAGCATTTTTCAGTGATAACTGACCACTTTCACTATTCCTGAATAAATACACTACAAAGAAATCGCCTAGGAAAACTAGAAGTGATTCACAAAAGTTGACCAAGGTTAACAATTATTTACTTTATGAATGTGTACTTGAAAGGAGATAAACAGTAATGCCTAAAGGTCTAAAGAGGGTTTGGAGGTGAATGCATTGAGTTGGTGGGGGTGAAAGTTCATGATGAAGATACTGTTTAGTAATACTACAATGCAGACTGTATTTGCAAAACAAATCTAATTTTTATTAAGTAGTTTTACACAAGTAGCTGTTCACAATCTGTAGTTAAAACATTGTATATTCACAGCTGCAATTTTAATTACAAAATCTTCAGAACAATGAAAAACATTCAAAGAAACTCAAGAATGTAAAAGAAAAGTACCGTGGTTCCTTAAACAAAACGTCAGCTGTAGACACTTGAGGTGAGAAATGAGGATTTTTTTTTAAACACACATCTACCATACTTATTAAGTAGGTTTTTCCTTTGTAACACAAGTTTAAGTGCCCAAAGACTAAAGTAATAATTTACTAGGAACCATTTCAAACATACAGTATTTTGCATCTATCACTTAACACATACTATTCTTTAAATGTTTTAATATGCAACACTTTAAAGCGGAATACTTCCCAAGTAGTACCAACAAGTCTGTCTCATCAGATAACTCAAATATCAACATTTCCCTGTGTTAACTCTGAAACTAATATACTATATTTTTCTTTCATTTGTATCATACTTTGATGGAGAGGGAAGTATATCTCAAGTTCACCACACATTCTTTGCATATGATACTCTGTATTTATAAGTTGACTTTAAATTTTAAAAATACCTAATATTTTGAAGTGGCTTTAACCCTTTTTTGAGTCCTTTTTTTAAGCAGACCAATACAACTCAAAAAATTATTCAAAGACTTCAAAACAAAAGCACTTACATTATCCATGTTTTTACCCATAAACTGAAATTTCTTGGCAAGATAAGCATCCGAAGACCCTGAAACCAGTGTCTGTTTTAAATATTTTTTTGGTCATGAGTGAAAACATCGGCCATGTTCTCAAGCTTTTACAATATGGCTTATAAAATATAATTACCAATAGATCACAGTTTTCCAGTGGACCTGCCTATGGAATATTGAAACATAATACTGTGAAAACTATTCCTATAGCTGAGTCAGTTATTTTAGAGGTTCTCATTAAATTATTCTGACAAGGTGTTTTTGCTAGTAGTTGCCAAAATTAAGGCTATTTAAAGTGTGCCATCAGCCCAAAGTTGGCTCAAGGAAAAATAGCCCTTATAGTTTACGTCTAAACTATGAAGACCAGACTTGACCCATTTTCAATGGTACAAACTTGTACTGTTTAAGAATTGAAAATTTTGCTTTTGCCAATGAGTACACAGATCTAAAATGTTTTGTCACAAAAGATACCTGAATTTAAATTTCTTTTGAATACCCAATAGAAAGTATAATATAAAATAGTCTAGAAGCTTCATTTATTTTTGCCTGAAGAGTTTGTGCTCTATCCAAAAAGGAAAGATTTCTATCTAAATTTTAAGTAAAAGCTCAACATTGGAGCTATATAAAAACCTTAAGGCTCATTGGCAAAGACAGTGATAAACTGTCAGAAGAAAATACATGGCTATATCTGTTTTTCTAAGTGATTTCTGCTTAATTGGCTTGGTTTCTTAATGTGTGAAAACTGACTAGCCAAACAAAAAGTCAATTTTAAAGAATTTCCTACCATTGAAGAATCATATCCCAGGTCTTAGTTTAAGGTTATATTCTGTCTTACTCTGAAGTCCAGATTTAGCACTAGTTAGACTTATGGAAAATGCAATTAAATATAAGTGCTTACTTAGAAAATGATTTTTAGGGCTAATGCTTTCAGTGTGGTAACATGGGTTTACATTATCAGACCACCTTGGAAACATTTCAATTTTGTTATCCAAAGAGGGTTTTGTTGTTTGATTTTACGAAAGTGAGGTTTATGTGTTTCAAACTTTCCCACTTGGAATACCAAGGAAAGCTGGGTCCAGGCAAATTCTATTTAAAATGCTGCAATCTTGCTTGCTTCTCGAACACCGCTCAAATATGCCCCTGTAACAGTTTGTGGGAAATGTCTGTTCGTTGCCTGTAAAAAATAATTGCATAATATGAGACTGTGTATAAGGAATTCAGGTGATAGGAAAGATAATATAAACTTACCCTTTCTCTGATTGTCCTCATGAAGACTACTGCCCCTATGTGCTCATGTTAACAGTACTCACCCATCTTAGCCCTTGACCTTTTCTGGTTATCTTCCATGATTTGCCAAATGCATTCATTCTATAATTTATTCAGCACTCCTGTAAACTACTGTTTGGCACTCATAAGATACTTAAAAATGCCAGAATTTAAGTATCTGGAATTACAATGACTAAGTCATAGGGCCTCTCCTCAGACAAGTAGTCTAGCCGTTCAATCAGCAATAAATGAAACAAGCACAAAAAGTGAATCACAGTTCATCTGCAACGTGTTTTGCTAGATGGGAGGAACAAAAGGATAGAGCTGAGGTACTCAAAGGACAGACTAGTGCAGCCGGAAGCGAAAAGTCAAAAGGTTGGGGGCCATCAGTGGGCCACCCTCACTTTCAAGAGGTGAGAGTGGGAACAGGCACATCCAGAAAGACGGGAAAGTAGGACTGGGATGCAACTGTGGGAAAGAGGAGCTGGAATGGAGTGAACGGGTCATAGAAAATGGAGAAGGAACAAAGTTCCAGGTGAACTGCTTTCAGTTCTGTGTCACCTAAAATGATGGCTGGGGTGGAAGGGAGGTAAGGTGGATTCTGGATAGGACAAAAACTTCAATAAGCAAATCAGGTCTGCAGGAATACAATTATAGTAGGAGGACAGAGAGACACTGATAGAAACCACAAAGAAGTGGGTTTTATAAGAAAGTAACAACTAGCAAAGCAGAAGGTTCTACACTCTTCCCGTGACCTAGGGCACAGTAGCCTGATACAGCCATCTGTTGGAAGCAGTTGACGGCTGTTGCCTGGCATGCAGCCATCATGCTCTGTTCCTACCAAGCTGGCTCTTCATAGGCCAAAGAGTAATCAAAGATTGCTGGGTTTTCATTATTTCCTTTCTAAAAGATTTGAGTTATTTTTAGAAAGAGGGGAAAAGAGAGAGAGAGAAACATCTATGTGTAATCGGTGGTCTTGCATGACCCCAACCAGGGATCTGGCCTGCAACCCAGGCATGGGCCCCACCTGGGACTTAAAACAGGCCACCTTTCGGTCCACAGGCCAGCACTCAAACCACTGAGGCACACCACACCCAGGGTGCTGCATTTTCAATATTGTCTTTTATGATCATTTAAAAATTAAGAGAAAGAAGTAAAAACATTAACTCTTTAGAGAAAGCTAGGAGACCCTGGTAATCCCAAACTATAATGTACACATTATGAAATGAAAGACTGCTGAGAATTCACTTTACCCTGCTACATTTGGGGAGTAGGGCAGGACAGGGTGATAACAAGCCAATTCACCTCAAAGAATCCTTAAAAAGATCTCAGTGACTGGGACATCAGGAACCATGAAGGCAGAGACTGGGCCCTGGTGAAAATGCAATTAAAGACTAAAGAGCCTTTGGGTCCCTCACTAGGTTCCCCACTCCCACCCACTACACCCCCCCATGGGATCTGAGGGAGAGAGTATGCGTAGGGGCCAAACAAAATGGGGATTAATTAACATCTTCATAAATAAGAAAGGCTTTTGGCTTCCGCAATGCCAGGAACTGAGCTTTCGCCACACACGACAGAAACTACATGTTCCCACAGAAAAGAGCTATAGATACTGACTGGAGGATTCAACCACCGGTTGGTGAGCTTACCAGAGCTTTCGGTTGGCTTTTTAAAAATGACTCACTCAAAAAAATTAAAAATAAAAACATGTAACTCAAATCTGAGCAGTCAAGGACTGGTTATTTGGACATGTAAGATGCACAGGCTTAAGGAGATAGGAACTCTGAGGAGTCATGCAAGAAACAATTACAAAGCAAGAAGAGGAAGCTGCCAAAAAGAGAAACTGAGAATGAAGTGCTCATAAAGTAAACGCCAAAATTTTAAGTCAGTGTAAAGTTTGGAAAATCTTCCCACCACAAAACTAGAATAAAAAGGTGAATAATAGTAAAGAAAATAAAGTTAGATAATGTAAGAATTCCAATATATGTAATAGGTGATCAGAAATAAAAAAATAAAAAGTAAAATCTAGGTCTGAAGGACACAGTTTCTAGAGGTAAGAAATAAAAAAAATGGTATAGAAAGGATTGGAAATCAAAACAGCAGAACAATTCTCAACAGAAGCAAACTAAGAAAGGCGACCTTGCACCCATTCAGATGGCTGTTATCGAAAACAGTGTTGCTGAGAATGTGCAGAAATTTTCATCTTGTGCCCTGTTGGTGGAAATGGAAACCAGTTGCTAAGGAAAACAGTGTAGTAGCTCCTTGAAAATTTAAAAACAGTGTGAGTATATGATCCGGCAAGGTCTCTGCTGGGTAAATACCCCAAAGAAGTAAAAGGTTCTTGAAGAGAGAACTGCACACCCATGTCCACAGCAGCATTGTTCACAACAGCCAAAAGGTGGAAGCAACTCAAAATGTGATGTATACCTATAATGGAATATTACTTAGTCCTAAAAAGGAAGGGCATTCTGACACATGCTACAATATTGATGAGACTTGAGGACATTACACTAAGTGAAGTAAGCCAGTCACAAAAGGACAAACACGGAATGATTCCACTTACACAAAGATGTACCTAGAAAAATCCAGAGACAGAAAGTGGTGGCTGCCAGTGGACAGGGGCAGAGGAGGGTTGTTTAATGGGGACAGAGTTTCGGTTTTGCAGGATAAAAAAGTCCTGAAGAAGGACAGTGGTAGTGGCTGTACAACAACGTGAATGTATTTCATATTACTTAACTGTATTAGTTAAGATGGTAAGTTTTGTTATGTGTAGTTTATCACAATTAAAAAAAGAGAAATCTGCCCTGGCTGGTGTAGCTCAGTGGATTGAGCGCAGGCTGTGAACCAAAGGGTCGCGGTTCGATTCCCAGGCAGGGCACATGCCTGGGTTGCAGGCAGGGTCCCCAGTGGGTGCCATGTGAGAGGCAACCACACATTGATGTTTCTGCCCCTCTCTTTCTCCTTCCCTTCCCCTCTCTCTAAAAAATGAAGAAATAAAAATTTTAAAAGGCTTAAAAAAAAAAAAAAGGAATCTAAAAAATAAAACTCCCAATCCCAGAAAGGTAAGGAGATGTTCCCAGCAGGAGCGCTCCGCAGCGTCCGAGAGATGCACCAGTGCAGACAGGAGCAGAGGGACAGGACACCAGAAAGCTGTGTGAGAGTGGACGGACACCCTGGCGCAACGGTGAGCAACCTTTACCTAGTCGCATCACGGAAACACTGACACCAGCCTCGCTGTGAAAACACTATGTCACCAAGAGACTAAATGGGCTACATCTTTAACCTAAAAGGAAGTCAGTAGATAATGTTTAACTTGTTAAATCAGAAGACAATATAAATATTTTAAAAATGAAGTAGTCCTTCAGGACAGATGGAAGATGGCATCTGCTACTCGATTCATCCACAGGCTACGGAACTGGGCCTCCGGGCGAGACTCGCAGGTGAAGCTGCAGCTGCATTACCAGAGCACCAAGCGCTCTCTGCCTCCTCCCGGACTCCCTGTGGGCCCCAGCCACAAGCTCACCAACAATTAATAGTGCACTTGTGATGGCCACTGGGAAGCCATGCCGCCCTCTGTCATCATGTCCTCACAGAAGGCCCTGGAGCCAGGCAAGCCAGCAGGGAGCTCAGCTGTGGCAGCCACTGAGAAGAAGGCAGTGATACCAGCTTCTGCCCTACAGAGGTGGGAGCTGTCCCAAGACCAGCCTTACCTGTGACACTGCCCTGGACCCCTCCCAGGAGAATGTGACCTAACTTATGACAATATATCATGCTCTCCAGGTAAAAAAAAAAAAGTAAATTTCAGAAGAAACATCAGAGTTAAAAATGGTTGTGGGAGCTTGAGGAAGATATTGAGAGAACATCTGTTGTCAAAAGATTTGAAAGTATTTGACACTGTTTTAAAACTCTGGACATACCACTTCAATTAAAGGAAAGCAATCAAAACAAAAATACTTGGGTTCAGAATCCTGATACACACCTCACCAGCAAAGAAGATGGTTCCTTGTATTTCTTCAGCAATGATATCATAGGCTTCACCGCTCCCACCTGTCTTCACAAAACTGTATGCCATCTGGATCCAGGGGTCTGTGCTCCACCGAGTGACAAAATACTTCGTGGGATCTGGGACTTCCTATGTCAAGTTCAAGGAATCATAAAACAGGATCAAGAAGGGACTTAGATATCATGCAATCCCAAGTATAAATATGCAGTCCTCGCTTCCACTAGAAATCCTCATAGCATTCTGAAATCGCCATTCTCGGCATGTTCCTCTGACCCCCTCATGACTCCACCCTGTATCTGCGCATCTTTCTCCACCTCCTGCCCCAGCTCTGCAACCTCCCTTGAGGCGAGACACGTCTCCTCACTTTCCAGTTTACCCTTCTGCTGGCACACATTCCCGCCACCCCTATGGGGCCATCGCCACCAGCTAAGAGTTGGAGCTTTCCACCTCCCAGAGCCCAGCCTGTGCCGAGAATGGAGGGAAAGGACCTCTGGGCCACAGGAGGGAAGGGAAGGCTGGAGTTCTTGGACCTCAAGGTGAAATTCTCAACAGGCTCCTCCAGAAAATAGATATCTAAAGATATGTTTCACTCCCTAAATTTCAAATCCTTTGGTAGCCTAGTCTCTGACAAGCACACCATGAAAATTATTTCTGAAGAAAGAAAGAGCTACGTCTTCAGTTCTAAATAACTAATTTGAAAACAAATTTTAGGACAAAAACCCAAAACTAGGGACTACAGTGAGATATAATTACATCACACAAAATAAGCAATGCCCGTGGATGCCTTTCTCTATGTAACTTTTGAGTTATTTTACTTCTTTCAACTTCTGTTCCTTTATTTGAAGAAGATACAAGCCATGCCACTTATAATTCTGCAGAGACTGTGACATTTAGTAAATTGGCAAATAAAAAGTACCTTGAGCTCCTTGGAGAAAATACAGAAAAGAGACTGGCTGCTATGTGAAGTACAAGAAAATTCTGGACAATGTCTCTTTAAAAGGAAATTTGTCACCAAAGCCTGCCAGGCTTTAGATAAATACAGAGTCTGTGGGAAATTGTGTACATCCTTAGGAAAGAAAAGGGGGTATGCATGATCTAAGGAAAAAGGGAAGGACCATGACAGTGTAAAAGGAGGGATAAGGTACTGGTATGGGCTACATTAGTGTCCCCCCGAAAATCCATATGTTGAAGCCCTAATCCTCACTACTTTATAATGTGACTGTTTGAGAAAGAGCCTTTAATGAGGTAATCAAGTTAAAATGGGGTTGTTAGGGTGGGCCTTAATCCAGTATGACTGGTATCTTTATAAGAAAAGGAGATGAGGCCCTGGCTGGTGTGGCTCAGTGGATTGAGTGCCAGCCTGCAAACCAAAGGGTCACCAGTTTGATTCTCAGTCAGGGCACATGCCTGGGTTGCAGGTCAGGCCCCAGGTAGCAGGTATGCGAGAGGTAACCACGTATTGACAACCCCCCACCTCCGTCCCTTCCCCTCTCTCTAAAAATAAGGGAAAGAGATTGAGAGATGAGGACACAGACAACATAGAGGGGCGACCATGTGAGGACACAGCCAGAAGGCAGCCATCTGTAAGCCAAGGAGAGAGGCCTCAAAGAACTTAAACCTGCCAACACCTTGATCTTAGACTTACAGCTTCCAGAATGGTCAGAAAATAAACTTCCATGTTTAAACCAGCCAGGCTGTTGTATTTTTGTTATAGCAGCCCTAGCAAACTAATCCAGGAACTTAGGTGGACAGTTAGATATTGAAAGAAAGAATAATGTAGCCTACTGCCTTGATTCTTTTCACTCTTGGTAATGACAGCTTGCTTTGGGCCCCACCCCACTTTGAAGAGCACACCAAGGCCGGCGTGTCCTCCACTCACCTGCTCCTTGAACAGCTCCCGGAGTGTGGTCATGCACTGCTGCAGCACCTGCTTGTCCTCCAGGTTCCTCAGGGCGGCCACCGCCTCCCCAGCAATCACCGACATCAACACACTGTGTTGTTTCTGGACGCACACAGGGAAAAGCTGTTTACACTTCTTGCTTTGGTACAAAAAGTCTCTAAATGCATGGTTCCAAAGAGATGACCTCAATCTCACAAATTAAATTTCATTATTTCCTATTGTCCCCTACCCTTTCAATCACCAATCCATTTTCCTCATACTCATTATTCATCTGTACATTTTTTTATTGTTGAAAGAACTCAGGAATCAGTGTAAATACTAAATTCAGAGTTTCCTTGGCTTTTCCCTTGTAAGAAAACTTCTTTCAGAAGAAATGTAATAAGGCTGAGAAGGGAAGTCTATGGATGAAATAATGGAAAGAACTTTCTCAAATGGTAAAGAAATTTTGCTCTAGGTTCCCATGCGAAACTTTTAAATATGTTTCTTGGAAAGGAGACCAAAAAAGAAACAACTGGGATTCTTTTGCATGATGTCAGCACTACCACGGCTTTCAAGTGGCAGGTATGCCCACCACTCTTCATTCCCCACCAATCACATCTACCAACACTGAGATGTGCCCTCCCTGGGCCAATCACATCCCATCCTTCATAGCATCGCTGAGGACCCTTGGAGAGTACTCTTCAGGAACCCCTGATTGCTGTGCTGCTGTGGATGCTTCCTGAGAGGAATTCCCTTATCAGCCTGAAAGTTCCCATAAGTGACTAATGTATTTCTCAGGGAGCAATATTAGTACTTTGAGAAAGTATGGCAGATAATGGAGCTCCTATGCTATAGGACAATGTCCTAGTCCCTGTATCCTCCTAGAATATAAACATATACCTAGAGTGTCCACAATGTCCCTTCGTTTCTGAGCTTGACATGTAAAAAATTACATCAAATTTTAAACTGCAATAAGGAAGTTCAAACCACATTTCACCAATGACTTTACCTGGGGATCCATGTCATAGAATACAGCAAAAAGCCCTCGCTTGCTGGCACTAGGAGGAACATGCCCGAAAAAGTCCGCCCCTTGAACTTTATTGTCCCAAAATCTATAAGGAAATTGCAAGGCAATCTGGAAAGTAAGCAAGAGAAAGATGGCTCAGAATTTCTTGAATCAAAAGTAGAGCAATCTCCAAGTAGTAATCTACAGCTCTTAACTAAAACTGTTTTTAAAAGGCAAAAAAAAAAACAAAAAAAAACCAACCCACCAAACCCCTCACTACTCCCGTTCCATTTTCCCATCTCCTTTCTTCTCTCCAGGAGCATCTGAACTTTTACGTCCCTCAGTCCCACACTCCCACCAACAACCCTAGGCTAACCTGAAAACACAAAGCATCCCTGAGATACAGTATTTCAAGCTTATGTCCCTAAGATAAATTCTGACTCCTCACAGGTCCGCCAGTACCTACTGCAGCACTGGCGGAGTCTGCTGAAAGGGATATTAAACGCAGAGGAAGTAAAACATTCTCTCATTGGGACCAACTAGTAGAGGTAGAGATAGAAAGCAGAAAAGAATTGTTTAATATACCAAGTTCAAATTCTGAATAAGATTTATCTTCCTAAAGTTTAAATTTTAGCCAGCTCTCTTCTTTATGTTTTCATAGTATCATTTTGTATTCTTCAGAGACAATTATTCAAATGAAAAGGAAATCTTCAAATTTTATTTGGATTCATAAGTTGCCCACTACTTCTCAGTACCAGGAGCGAAGGAACTCCTGTCATCTGACATCGATCTCTGTAGTTCTGGGGCTTAAGTAGTCTAGTCACCTTTTCAATGATGCCTGCACCTAAGCTGTTGATGGCCTTCATCTTCTTGTCTGACAGTGGTGGACTGAACTGAATGGCCCCTTTCTGCAGCAAGGCCAGGGGTACAGTGACCAATACCTGTGGGAAATAATTAACAGTTAACACGCAAGCAGCAACTGAACCTAATACCACAACAACTCAGTGCGTGCATTTCCAGGACAATCTCAGTGAAGAACATTGCTCCCTACTGCCAGTCAGGGCACGGTCAACATCCTGTGCTGTTTTCTTCCTAAGAACAAGGGCGGCCCGTGTACAGCTGTGCAGATTGTTTGCTGCACGAGGGTGCCTTGCAGGGCAGAAGCAGCTTCCACAGGAGGAATTTACAAAGGTCTTGATGATTTACAATAATCCAAGATTAAGAAGAGTTAACAGGTCCCAATCCTGAAAAGCAGTGCTATAAGAAGAATGTTCCTAAATATGGAGTCAGGAAAACTAGACTTGTTTATTCCTGACACCTTATAATGTGTGGCCAAGGTAATACCTGCCCTAGTAACCTCAAAGGATTGGGGTAATGCTTAAAACAAAAACCCTTACAATATACATCAATCTGCTTCATAAATGGTAAAGCACACCACAAGCACTAGGAATTATTACAATTGCTTTAAAGGAGGAAGTAATGTACTGCAGGGTCCAAATGGCTTACAAATCCATTCAGTTAACAGATGAAGTCACAGATGCTAACAAAGCCTTCAAGGATGACTCTTGAAAATCACATCCAAAAACCAGGTCATCAAAGAAACCTGCCATCTCTTGATACCATCAGGAAATTCCTGCCTCCAGAACCATGTTACCATTGCCACAATCAGGAGCCACTACTATTGCTACCAGAATAATGCCACTTTATAGAACAACCTTCACCAGCAAAATGGGTTCCTCATGCCCTGAGTCTTGACTCCCTTGCAATTAATCAATCTCTCCTGTCCCTACTGAAGAACCCAACACCTTGACCATTATGCTTATCAGCAGATGCAG